TAGTCGGATCGTACATTGTGGTATCTCAACCAACATCATTCCAGAGTTTGCTAAAGGACGAAATTAATCAGCTTTTCCTATTTAAAGCCCCACTGTTCTACTTGTAGCTACTTGCTCCCTCTTTATAGAAAACTTCCCCAATCGGTGCCTGTTGGTCCCCCATGATCCTCTTTTTCTTATGTTAATTGAAAGCTTAGTTGATGAGATAGCCACCTGTCGGTGGCCTCGCTAGGTGGTCTAATCCCTTCTGGCTGAACTAGTACAGACGACCTTTAAATTAGCGACAATTCCACTCTTTCATAGTCTAGAAAAATAAAAAGATATATCAAATGAATCGGTGAAAATGACATTACAATAGTCAACAAACGATTGCCAGTTTGTAACCGAAAATATTATACTAATTTTCAATTTGCCAATTTATAGACCTCACTGATTATTTTCATGTTTCAATTCGCTCTTATTACTAAAATGCACAATGTTCTATAATATGATTAGACTCGAATTTCTCATTGACTTGTTGCACTTTCTACTCTACTTTCTACTACTTTCTACCTTTTACACTGTATACCTCCCTTAGTCGTAATTTCCAGAAAGATTTATTTTGTTGTTGTGTGCTTGAACAAATGGGAAAGTTGTCTGCAGCTACATTACACAGATATTACTGATCCAGCCAATTCAATGAGCCCAAAGCTATAGGGATTGCAAAATTTTAAAACTTTATCACTTTCCCATTTTTTCATTCAAACTTTCTCCAGTCTACTTGTATGATTTTTTTGCTTTCCTCTAAGATCACTTTGCTATCAAGGTTTCATTCCCTTTAAATAATCTTTGAAAGTTGTACAAAAGAACCGTGACGTATATGGGGAGCGAGGGGGGGGGGGTACATTCCGTGGTTATGTAAACAAAAACGGAAAAGAGAAAATGAAGAAAGGGGGGGGGGTAATTTTCGCATCCCATTTGAGGAATGAGTGAGTAAAAAGCCGCTTGTCAATTTTAAGAACTTCGAAACTCTACAGTTTAGTTAGAGACGAGTAATAAAATGACAGTCACTCCAGATAAATGACGGCAGTCCTACTGAAATTTCTTTGTCATATTTCATATTGGTCTCAATTATGCTTCTCACGATAATCAAATGAACACTCTCTGACCCTTTCATGCCCCGACGAAAAACATAATACCGGCATGGCGGAAATGTATTTCTCTTGGTAAAAATTGGTGAAATAATATGGGAGATTCCACAAAAAATACAGCGTTCATCTTCAATAAAGTGTGTTGGTGCGTTGAATTTGAAGAGCATATCCTATTCAGTTGAGTCTTAACTAGGCAAACGTTTGTAAAATGATATAGGAGATTCCACAAAAAAATACAGCGTTCATCGTCAATAAAATCTGTTGGTACCTTGAATTTGAATGCGTATCTATTGGTCCGGACGTTAACCGAATTTAATTTGCTTTCTTTCGGCAGTGAATATGAAAACGGCGTAAGAGCCGGGGAAAACCCGATGTAGTGGTCAACATGTACGTTCCAATCATTTCCACCTGGTGGAGAGATCCGAGGGTTACCGTGATTCAGTTCGCTTCCTCTTATCAGGCATAGGTGACGGCAAATACTTAAAAATAATGATATTTGCATTTAGGTTTGGAAACTACGATTTACTTTTTAGTCAAAATTACATTTGTCTCGTTATGATATCATTTATTCACGACCAGAGATTAAATCTTTCATTAAAGGTGTCAAACCCAGGACACTCCTTTTCTCTACACACTGATTCATTTCTAACAAGGACAATTCTCCCTTTTCATATCCTTGTTTTTCCCAATGTTTTGAATTTTTTTGTCCGGATTACCTTATCACATCTTGATTTATTTTCTTGTTATTCCTAGTGTCATCCTCGTGTCAACCCAATGGATCCCCATCCATGACAATAATTGATTCTTTGATAGCCTCGGGCTTTGACATTTTGCTTTAAAGTTTGTATTACGCGGCATGACAGTATTGATGAATTAGATAGAAGAACATAAACCTGAATTCAATTTGTCCGGATTAGATCAAATTATTCCTTCCGTCGATACTATTAATTTCGATATCCATTGAATTCGTGGAAAGTTGAATACTCTGTTTCAGATTCAATATGGCATTCCTTAAATCTTAATCCTCTATCATAAACTACAACTGAACCCTTTACGGCTACAATCTTACTGATGAACATTTAAAAACACAATTGTCGCTAATTGCTCGGTTAGAACCACACCCCTTCACTACCCTCCACCTTTAGTCGAACAACCGAGTAAGACTTATTCACAGAACTGTCACGAAAAAATATTGATAGGAATTTCAAAATGTAGGTCATGGTTCGACGAAGCTTACTGGTTTCATTTGAAGAATAAGCTATTCGATACTTAGCGATCCACAAAAAAAAAAACCCACAACGTGTTTCCGCTTCCCAAAGGCGATCTTTCTTTTAATCAACATGATTAGAAGTTGTTTCTTTGAGGAAAATGCCTTTGAGCACGATCATAAGGAACATTGTAGATGTGGTGGGTCAAAATGGTATTACAAAATCACGATTTCAACGAAATCATATAAAATCTGAAATCTCACAAAAAATGTTATCCCAGCTGACGTGCCTGCCAAATAGCTAGATGATCAAATTAGATGAGATAATGTTATATGACACCTGCCAGAAGCCCATCATGAAGCCTATGGAATGATTCAATCCCTTTGGAGTGTAAACATTGTATAACATCAGATATTGTTGATCAACTTGTACAACTAAATGGCGTAACCACTCTGAGAGAGTGATGCCTCTATCAAATGAAAAAAATAGGGAAGCACAGGAGGAGATATTAAAATAAGTGTGAGAGAGGGCGGGATACTTAAAGAAACAAGAGGATTTTACTTTGCCATTCATTGACTCTCCTGGCTTGGTTACATTGCTTCCATGCTTTTCATTCGGTTCGTATAAGCCCATTTCCGGTTTTTTACCATGTCTCTCCAGAAATCAATCTAGAAATTACTAAGGTAATTAAGGACATCGTGTTCCGAAAACGTGCTTCTTCCAATGGTTCTTTTTTCAAGGAATCAAGTGGCCATGCACCAATAACATTTAATTCGTCTTGCAACATAATTGGCCACATGGCATAACTTGATTTATATATATTCTCTTGTAATGGGAACTGCGCCGTACGAAAAAACAGTAACTTCTTTCTTTACTTTCTTGACGGTGATAACATAACAAAGAACAGTATTCTTTCTTGATTATTTTGTGGCTCTGAAAAGAGCCGTTTGTCACTCCAGCCAGGAGAGAGAGAGGTCCGGCCGGGGTTCGAACCCACGACCTCCCGTTCATGAGGCGGGCTCTCTAACCACTGAGCCACCATACATATTGTTTTCAGTCACTCAAATAACTATCAAAATTTTTCAGTGTTTTTAAGATAAAATGTTATGAATAATACTATCGAAAACCTTAAAAATGTATAGGTAAAGTCAAATAAGAATTTCTTGATTCTCAAAACGTTTGATATCTTACTAGTAAATCGAAGGAGAGCCATATATGTCAAGTATTACCTTCTCTACAACCAAACTGTCGAGAATAAAGTAAATAATTTGTTGTTATAAAAGATCTTGATATATTGTTCACACATTCCAAAAATTATAATAACTGAAATCAGTCTATATTATCAAGACACCAACTTTCTTTTGAATTGTAACAACTGTATCTACGTTGAGTCTTTCAGGAGACACACCTTCTTCAAATGACAGGTTACGTATATTGCACATAGGTTTCAACACTACAAAACTTTGGCATTAGTTGCATCTTCGTCTGGGCTTTTGTTTTCTTTCATAGTTAGTCAAAATATTTCTTTTATATTTCCGAAATGGGTTAAACAAATATTGATATGCAAAAGATTTGATTAAAAGATACATCAATGTCAATTCGAAATCATATAGTAGCAAGGGGTCTGAACTGATCTTATATCGACTGTTCGCTATAGATTTTTGTCTAAATTTCGTCGTATCCCATTTGAAAGAAACAAGAGGATTTTACTTTGCCATTCATTGACTCTCCTGGCTTGGTTACATTGCTTCCATGCTTTTCATTCGGTTCGTATAAGCCCATTTCCGGTTTTTTACCATGTCTCTCCAGAAATCAATCCAGAAATTACTAAGGTAATTAAGGACATCGTGTTCCGAAAACGTGCTTCTTCCAATGGTTCTTTTTTCAAGGAATCAAGTGGCCATGCACCAATAACATTTAATTCGTCTTGCAACATAATTGGCCACATGGCATAACTTGATTTATATATATTCTCTTGTAATGGGAACTGCGCCGTACGAAAAAACAGTAACTTCTTTCTTTACTTTCTTGACGGTGTTAACATAACATACAACAGTATTCTTTCTTGATTAACTCAAATCAAAGTCTTAATTACATTGGTTAACAACTTGTTAACCAATGTAATTAAGACTTTGATTTGAGTTATTTTAACACCATCCACACAACTAATGTTGGCATGGTTGCAGTGTGGCGTTTAGCAGAAACCGACAAGTTATTTTTCTCAAATATATTTATTTAAACAAATGTGCAGACTACGTCATTTCAAATGGTTTGGACGCTCTTAACAAGTGACCTTCATAACAACCTTTTTTCGTGGTTGCTGAAAAGCGTACATTTGCAATCAGGCTAAACCCCCATGGGTGCGTGACGTAGATTTAACCATCATTGACGTTTTTTAAAGCTATTGAGGGGGCACTGGCCGCAAATGAGTGACAAAGGTAAAAATCTGATGGATAAAAAACGAGGGAGCAAAGTGATCAAAAGGGCATCGGTGTGACGTGGAGTGAAATGTATTGTCTGCTCGTCACGTTAAAATTTCAGATCACTTTTTTTCATTCTCTGTCTATTTATTAATCGAAAGGTTGAGAGACAAATATCACATTCTGATTGCAATCGACACAAATGTTTCTCACCCGTTTCTCTTATTGCATCTATTCTGCAGGTCCAACTGGTTTTCGGCAACCATGACTACTTCATCCGAAGATGTGCCATTCAACGTGAGCCTAAACGAGGGGGACGAAAATGGCACTGCTCCCTTCAACTTGGTGTTCCCAACACCAACAACCAATGTGGCTTACATGGTTGTTCTCTTTGTTGAATTGATCATTGGCGTCCCAGCCAATGCCAGCCTGATCTTCTTAGTGGCCCGAGTTCGAGAGCTTCGGACAGCACCCAACCTGCTCCTCGCGAACCTGGCCGTTGGGGATCTGATCTTCCTGGTTGCCAGCATCCCTGTGACTATCTCAATGGAGCTCAACACCTACAAGTCATCCATGATGTTCTGCAGATTCCAACATGGTGTGTACTATGTGTCCTTTGCCGTATCAGCACTGAGCCTGACAGTAATAAGCTTGGAGAGATACGGCGCGATCGTCAAGCCATTTACGCTCAAGAGCGTTCGAGAGAGTGGAAGCACAGCCATAATTTGCGTCGTGATCTGGGTGATATCCATCTTATTATTTGGCGTCTATCCGATGTATGTTGCGATACCAGGATTCTTCGGCAACACTTGCACGATGCCGTATCTTCGTAGAGACTTCCAGACGTATTTTGTCTTGCAACTTGTTTTACTCTACCTAGTGCCGGTATTCTGCATGACGACGTTCTACGCGTTCTGCACCCGCGAGCTCCTGCGAAAGCGCCGGATCTTGGGGCAAAGGACGGCGGCACGAGCGAACAGCGACCGATCGCGGTCCCGCGTGGCATTCAACCTCATGTTGATCACATTTCTCTTCACTGTGTGCTGGTTGCCGAACTATGTTTACTATCTGTGGTTCATGTTCGTGAGGGATATTGCTTCATTTAGATCGCCTGTTTTTAAACACCTGAAGAAGGTTAGGTCTGTGTTCTACTACATTGCATCGTGCATAAACCCCATGGTACTCTACGCCATGAGCACTTCCTTTAGACATCACCTGATCGCGACGATGACTTGTGCCGAAAAGAAGGGTGTGAGAATGCGAAATGGCTACAACACTCGCGACACACAACGCTCTGTCACGTTGAAAAGCACAATCAGAATGCCGGAGCAATCAACAAGTAATTCAGTTTTGTGATTATCTTTATTTTATTTTGATTTAACATTTCCCCTTTCTTCTTTTGTTTTGACTTTTGTTATGTTCTTTTTATTTTCAAAACTGTTCTCTAATGATTTTCGACTCACAATCCTTTGCAGTGTATAACAGACACTCTACACCCTTTAAGCATTCTGTAAAATGACATCACCAGCTACTAACTTTAATTTTGAGTTATTTTTGCGTTGGGCCTGCTCTTTCATCTCCTATGACACCTTTCATGGAAATATTGAGACACTTATCAATGGATGAGAATGGTCAACTAACACTAACAGAATGATAACCCAATGAATGTCAAAATACTAACTTTCAACGGTAATCTAATGGAATTTTTACCGTTTCCGCTTCACTCCATAGGGCTGGCATTCCTGCAGATGTATGAACTAAAGCCATGACGTGCGATAATCATATTGGAGAAGCGAAAGTGCATCAAGGATTAATTACTTCATGATCTGCTTTTTGTGCTATGGTATGAAAGTTCTGCGTATGTTCCTCCATTTGTCCTCTTCGTGGTGGAACAATTCGATTTATGTAGCAGCTGAAAGCATCTATACAAGCATGTGAGATATTTTTGTATTCTCTGTTTAATAGCAGCTTTAACCATTCTGTGGAAAGGTATAATTCTTCATTGGACTGTTGAATAGGCATGTGCCCCGAGCACCTGTCATGGAGAATCGCTGCAAGACAATCGAACGTGTGCCTGACCTTCACAAATCAGCTCGAAATCACAACAAAAAAACATAAATAAAATAATAAGTCTTGTTAATAATTGTAGGAAAACATTAGTTTTCACATATTTTCGATAGAATATATTTCAAAGCATCTGTCTATTTTTCTTGTGAGACGATGTGTACAGTTATAAACTGTCATGGTATTGGCTGCAGGATTTGAGGAAATGTTTAAACTGGTTTAATGTAAACCCTGTTCAATACTGGTACCTGCCGGATATCTGAGAGGCGAATGCTTTCCTTCAAGAAAGACCATTTCTCGAAGGAAATCATCGAAACTTCATGATTGTTTCTACCGCGTTTATGTCTTAACGAGACTGATGGATTCGACGATCCTGACATTAACACTGAAGGATCAATCGCCTTAAAATGTCCAACTCCCCACAGTTACTTTGATATGTTGCTTTTCATGCTGTATTATTCTGGCAATTTGGAAAGTGGACTCAACGTTTAATAGCATATCAGCCGCGTTTTCGTGGAAATCGACAATCAGTAATTGCTACAAGAACAGTGAAGACAATCGATCACCGGTGAAAGCCCAATATTTGAAAAACTTTAGTATACATAATTAATGTTACATAGTTTACCACTCGGGATGTTACCTTTCCTTGTGAAAAAATACATTCTCTAAACATAGTTTTGTATTTGTATTTATTAGATAACTTTATTCATATGGTACATGAATATTTTGTTTTTAAAAACATAAGCATTATTACAAATATTGAAATATTTGTTATAAATATTTATGAGTTTCAATCAGCATAAATGTTATCAAGTATCTCGGATTGTCATTAGACGTTTGATCATTTTTTTGTTACTAAAGTAAATACACACCTTGCATGCTTGACGCACAACAAACACGACTGCTAATCAAGTTGACTGTTTTGAGTGACTTTAATGATAATGATTGATTTTAACGTGTGAAAACCCGACAGGCAATTAGTATTTTTTTATATTAAGCTACTGTTAATGTTATTTATATCAATAACAGTTATTAACATGACCTATGAATTAAAGAAGACAGTGAAATCAGCGATAAACACTCAGTGACTCATAATAATGATTTTCGAAAAGAAATATTTCAGAATCAAAGCCATACTCAGTCTCATCCAATTATCTATATAAATTTATATAAAATGTATAGAATTATGAGTTTATTTTGCTAATTTTGCAGGGAAGACAGGATAACAAATTAAGTTTTAATAAACCTTCTCCACCTTGTAGATTTAACGTTCTTTGTGCATGTTACTATTCATTGAATAAACAAGTTTATGCTATACATCATGTAAATATACTACCTTTGATATGTAAATATAGACATCCTGACTTGGTGAAACTTCAATAAAAAACTAGAACTAATAAAATAATATCTAAATGCTAAGTTAAGGTTGGATACCTTGAACTGTCCCAATTTGCGTTTTTATTTTATTGTAATTTTAAAGGTCCTCTTTGCAGACTGCACCAAATTCACAAAAACTTCGCCTGAATCCATGTATGTTATATAGGTCCCGACCCTAAAATCGGAAATAAACAGTGATCTAGTTTTTAAAATGAAGCATGAAAAACTCTGAATTCCATAGGTTTCCTGTCAGACCCAGTTCTTGTTTCTTTGCTTTGAATATAATATACCATGGACTATCAATGGTATATCTAATATCTTTCTTAGAATTACCTTAAATCCAAGGGTTCTGAGTTCGAATAGTAGTGAAAGTAAGGTTCATATAGATATTTTGGTCTCAGTGGGAACAGGATTACACCCATGCATTTAAAAAGGGTCTGAAACCTCCCGACATATTTTGCTATGGTCCAATGAAAAATCTCATCTCAGAAGCAAATTGAATGATTTCTTTACAAGACTGCTTCAATTGGCCCAATATTTTATGGGTTTATCAGAACTGCATTTTCCAGAATAGAGTTCAGTATTTGTTTTCTCAAGCAAAAGGGACACATTGTCTTCAAAGGCAATTTTATATTGTATTCATGTATTATGTAAATAGATACTAGATGTGATTTATAGTTTGAAATATGCATTTTATTTTACATTCATGTAATTATGTCAATTGTCTAGTTTAAATAACCATTTCGTGATGTAAATAAGATATGTAAATATATGTGAAAGTAATATAGAGCTAGTATATATGATTGATATGCCTTATTTACTTTAACAGACTATCGTAAACCCTAGCACATCGTGTAATTGTTAAAAGTTAATATTATGATAACCGTATGTAATGTATTAAAGGCTTTTACCAACAATTCCTTTCCTAAAAAGCACCCTTCATTATATGTAAAATTTAATCAAAATGGCGATCAATTATTTTGTAAGGCATAATTCTAGTCAATTACAAGGTTTATTATTCATTTTTGTTTCTCATACGTTACACAGCATAAATTCACATACGAATTATCATTTTCTTTATATTTTGTTTTATTCTCGCTCTATAGAGTTATAACTTAGTGCAATCAAAGTATACAGTAAACACACAATTGTTCGTGGTAACGTATGGATAAGATAACTAGAAATTACCCTTTTATACAAATGGATATTCTTCAGGTAAGCCATAAAAACTAGCACTGATTTTATCGTCCGACAAAACAAATTTTAGCACAGTTTATGATATATTATCTATCCTCAGCATATGATTACTTTCAAATTAGATTAAAAAAACAAAAAACATTATGTTGTAATACTGGGAACAATAATACCCGGCATTATTATTGTGAAACGAAAAACTTGTAGCGTATAAGTTACATTAAGATGTTCAGCGAGTTTTTCACGGTGATATCTGGTTCTCATCAGAAAATCATCTTTAAAAGGTGCTGGTTAGATGTTTGAGCGGAAGCTCTTAGGTGTACGTATTCATAGCATATATATATTAAAATATATTAATATACATGTTACAACACACCAGTTATAAATATATCATTAAAAATACATTAATAACCATGGTAAGATGTACATATAAATGCAAGTTGAAAGGGCGAGGAATGGTTACATCGGAAAAATATTAATATGATGTTAATGGCCTTGGTAAAATATTTACAGCATGCTGCAGTTTTAATTTATTTTTGTCTTCTTTACTGTTCATCAAAATAATATGAGATAGAGATTTAGTTAGTGTCATTAGTGAGGGGAAGCATAAAGTTCAATTGTCTTGCCAGTTTGGCCTGAAATTTACGTGGAAAAACTTGTGGATCGTCCTAATGTCCGTTGCAAACGAAGCGTCAATTTTTATTACCTGCGCTATTACCAATATTGTGAAGGCAACTAGTGCAATAATGCAAAGCAAGGTCTGCAATCGTTTATTTTGCATTATTTTTTTGGATTAAGTCAGTCTGGCGTGGAATGCCAAATTGTTGACACAGCCCTAAGTTAGAAAAATGACGTCTTGTATGCAACGGGCATTAAAGATATCTTTGCGATTCAGCGGATGATTTATATAAATATATATATTTATAGAGCGTCTTTTTGCTCCCTCTCTTAATATTGAGTAATATTATAATAAATTCATATGAGTTAGAATGGTGGCGAGGAAGATCATGTATTCACCGGCAGCTCCTGAATTACAGGCCCACAACTTGCCTCAGTCGGTTCATCGACTCTAAGGTTTGCATTGTGGTAGTATTTTATGGTACATATATATATATATATCTTTCAGTAAAGTCTTTATTCTTATTGCATTAATTGGAAATACGTCAACCAAGTTACTCAGCACTGATTGAAGAATGAATGGGGAGTGAGCGGGCATAACATGCTCCCAAATTGCGTACACATTAGGAGATATATTTCACATGGACAAATTATGGAGTGTAAAGTTCAAACTAAAGAGGCTTTAGAATTGCAGAGACAAATCGAAACTTTTTAAAGAACTATTGTCACATATTATTGTTATTATATATATTGCAGTGATTTGTTCGTTCCCTTCTAACTCTTATGACATTTCACCGAGTTTAATGCACTATTGCCATTTAATATATTACATCATTACAACTCACCAATTGCTTCCTTTCAGTTTCTTCTTCTTTGAGATTAAAGTACGAAAGAAATTAATTTATGAGCTACACGTTGTCTTTTTATTGTCAATTATTTGATGTTGGTGTTTGAAAGATGATGTGTGAGTCTAAGAAAAGCCTATGAATACAAGACTGAGGTATACTAATACGAGAACTGTTAACCCATGGTGTGCTCGCCCGAATAAGAATATAATTAGATACTTTTTTGTAAAAGATTTTTCTCAGTTTAATAGAAATAATCGTCACGTGATACCAACAAATATATATATACCTTTGCCATAACCGCACTTATTTGAAGCTTCCAGATTGATCAATCAAGTTCTTAGAAGATAGAAAGTTTATCTAAAAAACAATCTCAAATTGTCACAATCATTTTATTAAAAGAGGTAAGGAAAAATCCATTTCAATTTTATGAGCAACAGTGTAGTTATCCATGTACTTCGAGGATTTAAGTAAGTTTTTGGTAAAGAAAGAACCACACAAATCTGCTGATCTCACGTTAAATTAATTTTTAGTTATTTCTTTTCGAGAACTGATGTTCATCTCACATTCAACTTGCATTCAGCACATTAACATATTGTACGTTAACCAAGTCCGTGGCATATCCAAGTTCCCTACCATAGTGTATACAGTACATACTTGGGCCTCTTGGTAAGAAATAAAATATCGTCAGGAGCGAAAAATCTCATAACTCGGGAAATGGAACTAAATGGTATTAAGGCGAGAGTTAAGCTTGGGGCAACATTATTGCTTTGAATTCGCAACGACGTCTCGAATTAAAACTGACAGTTGTGACTACACTGTGCGTGGCGTTGACCCGATCTCAATGGCGCCAATGTTCTCTCCAGTAAACATTTTGTCCTATTTAGAATTTGATATCGATCCGACAAAATATCATCACTGGATTAACGTGCCATATACTATATTCAAATTATGTGAGGATGTTCCATAGTAAAAGCTAGACCTGACAAGTTGTATGAATCTTGATTTAAATAGATATTATCAGTCGACATGTTAAAATGCATTATTAGTCGACTTTTAAATTTACTTTTATAGAATTTTTTTCTGTTTGCCTTCTTACCCCTATTTTACAAAGGGTTGCGTCTCCCTTCCGACATTTTTGCAGCATGTGTATGTGTGTTTGTGTGTGCGTGAGTGGGAGTGTGTGGGTTGTATTATATCCATGGTGCAAAGTTAATCAATGCTTCACTTGAAATTGGAATCATTTCCAAAAAAGATTGTCATTTTAATATTTCATTAATTCATTATAAATTTTGGTAGCTATCGGCTGTCCATCAGGTTAACATAATTATAGCGACTAAACATAAATATGCAATATTTTTCAACCATTTTGGATTTCGAATTTTGTAATTTATATAGCGACGTATAGGTACGTATATAACAAATTCTCTATTATTGATGAGGGTTGAATATGGAAGAAACAAAAATTATCGATATAAATCGTTAAAAATGTAGGTTGATTATAATGAGCTCCTTATTCAGGTATTCTATCAAATGTGAACTAGATCAAAAAGGAATGTAGATGTTTTTTTTACAAAAGGTATCATCTTGGGTAAATACAATCACAAATTGATTGCTTTGGGCCTTGAGTTTCTCGAACGAGCAAAGTTGAAGACGGGGTTATAATGCTGTTTTTAAATAATGTTATTCTCTTTCTCTCGTTCTCTCTCTGTGTCTCGTTCTCTCTATTTCTCTCTCTCTCTCTCTCTCTCTCTCTCTCATTCTTCCATCTTTCTCACGCGTCACCCTCTCCCCCTCTCCCCTCCCTATCTCTTTCTCTAATATGTAAAAGAAACGGACTATCAACTCCTCGAATTCAATGGAAACCGATCTCGGGTTTCACGACTCGATTACTTTCTCCAACTGGCTCGGTAATGTGTCTTCTTGTGAGACCTCAGAGAGGTTCATCGACATGGATAACTTTTCTTACCAATCAGTTAATCAATTCAGAGCAAACTATTCTCCCCCAATGCGGGGGCGTTGCAAGGGAAGGGGCGAGAACGAAGGGGGGGGGGAAACATAATTTGTCGACAAATTGTCTAACCGTTTGTTGCGAAGTAGTCTTCCATTGGGTTGGATAGCAATTCCCCTTCATTAAGCGCCCGAGATGCGTTTTCGAAGTAATGCAAA